CTTTAATGAACTGGCTTTAACTTCAGATTGGGCGGAATGGTTCTAGAGCAGAGGCCACTTAGCCTGTGTTGAGGGCTGAAACTCGGGGCTCGTAGAACAGTATCAGTAAGTTCTTGATGGAACATTATTAATATATAAATAGAAAAAAAATCGGTCCCCCCATTTGATAGTGAATGAATGAAGAGGATTATGGTACATTTGGGCTATGCAGTAGTTAAAACACATGTAGTAACTTGTAGTAGGGGGTGTATTTTTCCCCTTTTTCTCCCAAGAACTTGGAAGCTGTTGAGGCCGCACTGGCTGGATTTGGTTTGTGAGTCCCTAGCTCTGGGATACCTGAGCATCATGGTGTAAAAGGACAGGTTAAATAGCAAGGTTCAAAACTTCATTGAGAAAAACATCTTAAGTGATAGTTCTAGTGACAGGAATTTTTAGATGGGCTTTCTAAAACTAAAATTCCTGTTTGATGTGGGATCTATTCAGGTGTTATTTTATTCCTTTTTAATTTGACTTTTTGTGTATGTGTATATATAGAGATAAAATATGTATTTAATTTTTGAGCCTGACTTCAGGGCCCTGTATAAAGCAAAGATGGGACTTCCATGCTATATATTGTATTTGGGAATTTGAAATTTCTTAAATCAATTTTTTTGAACCTGATTAGCTCCCCTCCATTCAGCAAGGTGGATATTCACAGCCATCATCTGAAACTTGTTTACTCCTAGGACATCTAGGATTACAGCTGGCTGGCAAATGCAGCTTGCTTCTAGTGAGCATTAGTTATATCTGCATTTTTAATGGATATACATTGGATAGAGCCACAGCAAGGGGGTTTCCTATAACATTACTGGTGCTAAGTGTCAAATATTCTGAAATCCTGAGCAAGAGTGTTGACACAGCATTTTGTATTTTAGTTTCTGGGTAATAACTCTAGCTATAGAGCCTGGATTATCAAATGGATTCTAAGCTGGCACCTGCACAGACTTTGCAGCGATTTCCTTTAGATCAAGAAAAAGGATTTGTGAGGCTCTTTCTTACTTTTGCGCTTCTGAGGAGGATCAGTGCTCATCTTCAGGCATTTAGCCACATTCTCTTATGGGTGTGAAGCGTGTTCTCCCTGGGAACTGATGGAGCAGGTTTTTTATGTGTTAGCTGACTTTAGTCAAATACAAGTGAAATGTTGCTTCTCTAGCTGTAAGAAAGTGTATTTCCAAGATTATTGTAAAACATCTTGATGGACTAGTAACATCAAAAATTGTGACATCTCTCAATTTATGTACATTCCTTCTTGGGCTCTTTTTTTTTGAGGGTTACTTTCAAGTAAAATGTCTGGTAGGTTTTGTCAATAACCTGTCTTGACTGTAATGTAAATGACACTGAAATAAAAGGAAGAGTGATTATTCATTACATAGACACCGAGCTTCATTTGCCTGCAGTGGGCTGCCCTTGCCTTGCCATTTTGTTTCCTAGCACTTCTTAACATCCCTTAAGAAAAGGAAGGTAACTGAGAGCTTACTCTCCTATCCCACATTGTAACTGCTGTGGAGGGGGGTTTGGTGGGATGTTTCAGTACAAGACTTCGCTACCACACAGTGCACGGCTTGGGCACTTGCTGGCACTGTCAAATTGATAAATGGAGGTATTGCTGTGTATTGATAAGCCATGTTACATTATTAGCATCTGTGTTAAGGGGAGTAGTTTCACGCCTGCTTTGTGTAACTGATTTCACACCATGTATTACAGCCTTTGCTGGCAAAAGTGTACAGGAAGTTTTTTTAAAGCACCCAAGTGTTATTTTGCACTAAATTGTATGAGAGAACTGGCATCCCACCAGCTTAACCGCTTTATCTTTATTTGCATTAGTAACATATCCTCAGCCGTATAGGTTAAAGCCAGAAATGGTTCAGAAGGAGCGTGTAGAGGGTTTTGTCCTGTAGACGAGGGTCAAGGCCAGAAAGGGCTCCCTCTCCCATGTTCTTGACCAAGCGCTCTTAGCTGAGCGCTGCCTCCTCGATGACATGCTGGAAAAGGGGGGTTATTCCCTGCGCTAACAGCTCTCTGTGGTAGGTCGGGGGTGGGAGGGAGTTGTCACCTTTTGGCCTAGCCTGTCCTGAGACACTGAATACTCAGGGATCCTCCTCAAGGTGAAGTGGGAACATGCTGGTACCATGTTTAAAGTTTCTGTATGCCATGCAAGCACTAACCTGCTGCGATAAGGGGGTTGATGTCAGTGTGACAGATGGGTGGAACAGAATCCTTTTAAAAAAAAAAAAAAAAGGAAAATAAAATTGTCTGACACGGGAAGCTCCTGCCTGGAGGGCTTGTTGCTGGATTCTGTGCCAGAACCTCCCTGGTGTGGGAGCTGTAAAGGAATCTTCTGCTGTGGCCTCATCTGCACCTCCCACTCTGACAGATAACAGAGCTTAGGCATCCATAACTTCTAGTATCAGGTTTGCAGGGACCAGGCTTAAGCCTGAACAGCTGAGGTGTTCAGCAGTTGCCTGCTCCACCTGCTGTGATTGTAGCTGAAGCTGGGCAGGGATAGATTTACAGAGGGCTGGCGGTGGAACCTCCCAGCTCCAAAAAGACAACAAGCAGAGCAAAGCCCCATGGAGCGGTGCTAACGGTGTTTCTCCTTCGGTCACACGGGCTTTGCCTGCCTCCTTCAAGGGCAGGGCCCCTCGGTGGCGCGGCGGAAAGCAGAAGGGGCTGCGTTGGGCTGAGGCGGGGGACGGGCGCCTCAGAGAGGAGCCTGCGCTGAGGGCTGTGGTGTGAGGCCTGTTGGGGTGCTGCAGGGGCCAGGCCCCAGCTAGGCCAGCATGGGGACAAGAGAATAGGATGGTGGGACCTTTGCCCAATAGTGTGCTGTTTTTTGTGTTTCATAATATTGCGTGCTGAGGTAGGGAGGGGAAGGCCACCCAAAGCATGTGACTGGGGTAGCGGTTACTTGAGGAAGCTCAGCTGGCCACCAGGCAAGGAGCAGCCAGCAGTGCTGTGGGCTGGGTCAGCAGCCTCTGTCCTGACTAAAGGAACTCTGTGAACAGCGGTTTATGGTTATTGAGGGCCAGGAAAGGAGCGGGGAAACCTGCCTGACCGTGTCATGCCAAACAGTGTAGAACCCAGGGGATGCTCCTGCCTGCAGCAGCCACGCTGTCTGTGAGGTGCCGCAGCGGCTGTGGCTGGAGGCAGGCCATGGTGCCAGCCTTTGCCTGGGTCCTTATCTTCCTGCTGTGCGCACACCGTGCTGGCCTTCCCCCCGGGGCAGGGGCTGTGGACCTAGCTTATGGCCACAGCAGTGTGCAGCGGTTGGTTTCAGAGGGTGTTGAAAATAACACAGCTCAGGTAAAAATGTCCTAAGGTCAGAAGACTCTTTCCATTTTCTTTCCAGTGCTTGGAAAAAGAAAAGCCAGCATTTTGCTGCTCCTGCTGCATCCTGTGTTTTACAAACACTTTACCCCACTTTGGGAGTGCTTCAGCTTTGCCTGTGTCTGCACGGTAGCATT